CATGCCACATGTCCTCTATCCATTCATCTGCCAGTGAGCGTCCAGCCCATATCTCGGCTGCACTGGATAGTGCTACAATAAACATCAAGGTATCTCTGTGCTGTGGGGACTTCGAGTGTGTACCCAGGAGAGGTACTGCTAGATTATATCTGCAATGCCTCTGCATCCTTGCCAGCACTTACTTGTTTTCCTAACAACAGCCATTGTGACTGGGGTAAGATGGAATCTCAGTGCACCTTTAATTTGTATCTCCCTGACTATCTGTTGATTTTACTGTATAAAATGGATTGAAGCATGGTAATAAAATACTCTGTAATGTTTCTAAGTACAAGAACAGGGTGATGCACTTTGCAGAAAAAAAAATATGTGTTAGAGAAGCTTCATTCAGGCGTTAAGTCTAGTCCTGTTAGCTGTGAATTCCAAGTTAATGAATCAAGATATAGGAAAGCAGACACCTCTAAATAGAAACACATTAAGCAATGGCATGCACTGATTGATTGATATAAATGATGTGAGAAGGCTCGTTACCTCTCCATGGAGTGCTAACATGGTGGTCATGGGGACTTTACTCTTTACCAAGAGTAAAGAGCATCAACTATTCTTAGAGAGAAAACAATGAGCCTTGTCTCTGTACCTCGGCCTCTCCATTCCTTGGGCACAGTTTTAGGTTTATGGGGCTATAAACACAGAATACAGGCCCTGGCTCCTTGCCTGAATCTCTCAGCAGTATGTGAGCCTGGATCATCTTAGACTTCACAGGGCCTCATGGCATGTGTGCCAGGTTCCCTACATGGAACCCAGCACCACTCCAGGATCAAGTGCCACCAATGTTTCTGCAACAAACTCATGTATGTTCTGCCACATCAGAAACACAGTGGCCTCATCTCCATTCAGAGTAGATTTTGCCACCAGAGTATACCATAAAGTCATCAAGAAAATCAACAGGCTTTGAGAGCTATTGAAGTTTTGGAATTGGAGAATCAAATCTGTGGGCCTGAAGTGGTACTTTGTAGGCCCACAATAGACTTCTGAATGAATTTCCCAAAGGAAATACTTGTTCTGGCTTTAAAGTGGGAGAGAGAAGTGGGGAGGGCAGGAGAGAGATTTAGGGCAAAGAATATTCAGTCAACTTATTAATTAAATTAAAGTGGCCATAATGGTGCATGCTTGTAAGCCTAGCACTTAAGAGGTTAAAGCAAGGTCATGAGTTTGAAGCCACCCAGGGCTACTGAGTGAGTCCCTGTCTAAATAAATAAGTAGGGGGCTGGAGAGATGGCTCAGTGATTAAAAGTACTTGCTGATCTTCCAGAGGACTTGGGTTCAGTTCCCAGCACCCACACTGGGGGTTCTGATACCCTCTTCTGGCCTCCATGAGTATCCCCACATACATAACACACACACATGTAATAAATATGTGAATAAATATAATTTAAATTCAGTAGGCCATTGTTGGTTCCCTGCTTCCTACTGCAAAAAGCCTTCATTTCTCCCAACTATGACCACGGGCCCTCTGTGGCCAGGCTTCTTCTTGCCTCCAGGTTGGAGGTGGGGCTCTCTTCTATGCAGATCTACCCTTTACTTGCTCCTTACTCCTCGTTTTTGATAAGATTTCACAGTTTTCTGAGCATCCTCCATATTGGAGTTGCTACTGCACATTAAGAGGATAGTGGAAGGACAGATATGACATCATGTGACAAATGACAGATTGGTCATATTCTCAGGCAAGGAATGATGAATGTCATCATCAGAGAAAGCAGGGTGCTTTGGGAACACTGGGGCCATAAAGGTTGAGGAAGAATCATTGGAGGTTACAGAGGCCAGGTGCATCACACCTTCTGCCTATGACGAATATCTTTCTTGAACATGCTTTGTCTCTTGGGTACTGTGGTGGTTTGAAAGAAAATGGCCCCCAAAAGGAGTAGCACTATTAGGAAGTGTGGCTTTGTTTCAGTGGGTGTGGCCTTGTTGGAGGAAGTATGTCACTGTGGAGGCGGGCTTTGCTCATATATATGCTCAAGCCACACCCAGTGTCTCAGTTCACTTCCTGTTGCTTGCCAATCAAGATGTAGGACTCTCAGCTCTAATACCATATCTGCCTGCACACCACCGTGCCTCACCATGATGATAATAGATTAAACCTCTGAAACCATAAGCTGCCATCTCCATTAAATGTTTTCCTTTGTAAGAGTTGCCAGGGCCATGATGTCCCTTCACAGTAATAGAAATGCTAACTAAGATACCTACCCCTCACCTAGCTTTCCCTAACGTCACAGACATCATGCACATCCTAGTTTCTGTGTGACACTTGCAACTCATACAGTGGCTGTGCAGTTAATCAGCTATCATCTTAGTATTGACTTGGGTTTCTCACAGCTCATCCTATGTCTTCAGCTAAATTTTAAGAACCTTGTGCCACAGCCTGTGCAGTTAGAACATTCTAGCTGCACCATAAACATTTGTTCTGCCACACATAAGAAATGACTGGTACCCCAGTGGCTCATCAGCACAATTCTTTATAGACCTGGCCTGCCCCACACAGACTATGCTATCTCTTAGTAAATCTCGTGCTACTTTTTGCTCAGAATGAAAACATGATTCATAGTACAGATGTCTGGCTAGTTTTCATATCTTTAAAATCCTGTTGGTCACATCAGACTGAAGGCAGTGATGAATCTCCCTCAGATTCATTATCAGGAGGGAACAGATGGTATAATGTCCTCTAAATGTTCATGCTGGTAAACACTATGTAGTTCTTGTATTATTAATTTCTATCCTTTTAAAAACAAGTCTCCAAATGTAGCTAGTGGTTAACCCTGAAAAAATGCCCCAATTCTAAAATTCATAAAAATTTACAACATTGCAACATTGGAAATTTTCAAAAGACATGTTCACAGATGGACTTGTTTAAAAAAACAACTTAAACGAGTGGCTGAGGGCAAAGTGTTTCATGGGTAGGCTTCCCTCATCATCATTATACCTCTGACTTGGATCGCTACAATTCCCAGCATGTTTTCAGTGTATTTTCTTGGTTTTGATCCACAGAACAAGACAAAGGAATACAAAATTGTGGGCCTGTATTCAGATGGCATCAACGTCTTGGGCTTAATTATCTTTTGCCTTGTCTTCGGACTTGTCATTGGGAAAATGGGAGAAAAGGGGCAGATTCTGGTGGATTTCTTCAACGCATTGAGTGACGCAACCATGAAAATCGTCCAGATCATCATGTGGTGAGCAGTGCTGATGGGCACCATTTCCCTTCCCCTGATAACACCTTTGTGGAACATGAAAGAACATTCCTCAGCAGGTCCTCCCTAAAGAAGGTGGACATTTAAAATCAAGACTGGAGTATTAATTAATTTCACACCCTCCTTGGGAGTAGCAGTTATCTCTTGCCTCAGAGGCCTGAAGAGCAGCCTATACCTACCCAGCATTCCTGTTGGAAAGGATCTGAGAAAGTTCCTTCGGAATATGAACACCAGGTGCTTTTCTTCTTAGGCCCTACACAGAAATGAAATTCAAAATATCCCAACTGTTCTAGCCTGGGCATGACCACATCTGAACGAGAAAACTCTTCTGGCATCCAAAGACACGGCCTGTCTGTCCTGCTTCTGAGATGCCCAAAAGTTCAGCTTTCATGGGAGACCTCTCCCTCCCCTCGCTCACGTGGAATTGGCTCAACATTTTATAATCCAAAGGGTAGAAACCGACAGTAAAATGTCCGGTGGTAACAGCCAAGGAAATCACTTAATCCCACTAAAACCTTAGCTTCATCCTCTGTAAGAAAAAGATAGTAAAACCTACCCCCAGGGCTGGGGGAAGAACATTAGGTGAAATGATGTGTGTAAAATACTTCCCTGGCATAAGACATCGCTAGATAGAGCTCCACAAACGGAGCTATCGTGCTCACCCCACTGCTGCTACCCTCGCCTCTATCGATGACACCTGAGAAGCAAGATATAGATGGAAAGATTTTGCTCTTATGACAGTCACTGGGGGGTGTGCACTGCATGGGTGCTTCTGTAGTGCACATTCTTACCAGCTGCCCTTAATTTGGGGTGAGTAGGATGAAGATAGCATGCAGATACTCTAAAGACAGTTGTGCATGCTGGATTTGAAGCTGAACCCCTGACTTCCCGATTGTAGCCAGCGGCCCTCCCAGGGGTGTGAGCATGCGCACTGAGCATGCCCACACTAGCTTGTTCCCTCCCCAGCATCCTGTCTGAGAAACGCTCTGATGACTGAATTGTGACTTGGCCTGTGTTTGCTTTCTAGCTACATGCCGATCGGTATTTTGTTCCTAATTGCTGGGAAGATCATAGAAGTGGAAGACTGGGAAATATTCCGCAAGCTGGGCCTTTACATGGCCACTGTCCTGAGTGGGTATGTCAAGAGAAGAAACAGAATCCATGGCTGATGCCCTAGGATGACTGAGTGTAGCTGGCTAGACACGGCTTTTCTCCCATGTGCAGGGAGAGATGGGGTTTGGAGATAAGAGAGCATCAAGGCTGCCCTTTAACAGCTGTGCCGTAGGTGTGTCATGCTGTGCTAATTTTCAGCTCCTGGCAGAACAGCTTGGACCAGCTTTTGTCATTGCCTCTATTGGTTTGGGTTTAAAACAAGAGAAAAAATTCATTTGAGGGCTCTTGGGGCTATCTCCTGCCCTTTACTTCCTTTAGACTGTAAACTAGCCAAGCAGGAAAGAATGCCTCCCACATATCCCAAGGCTGAAAGAAAGAAGGACCTAAATAAATTCCATCTGAAGCATGTAGGACTGGTTTTGCTTCTGATGTTCTTGCTGGGTTGGTGGCTACTGCTGTGTCTTGTGTCACCAGGGTGTCAGGGTGCTGGAGCGATCATCAGGCTATTCAGCAAGTGTCTGATACCTTTCAGAGGCCATAAAACAAACAAGAAGGTGCGAGGTTGAGTCCCTTACAACACAGCTGTTGGCTCCCTCAGAAGAGATGTCATAGGTTATGAATGGTGCCACCAAACATCTGGCCAAGGACAGAATGGTCCCATCTACTAAGAAATGTGGAGCAAGAGAAAGAGTAAATGCCACTGATTTGCTTTCCATGGGCCAAACACTCAACTTGAGCCATTAGCTTCCCTCTCAGAACCTGGCTACAGAGAGGAGTTCCCAAACACAGCATTGGTTGTTAACCCCAGTGTGCCAAAAACACGGCTTTCCAGCCATACAGAGGCAGCCTGGTCCTACAGCGTGAGTGTCAGAGTTGAGGCCACAGAGATCAGAGAGGCAGGGCTTCTCCCTTCTACAGCCCTGCACTAGAGCTGCTGAGACAGGCAATACCAGGGGCTGTGGTGGGCAGTGACGTGGCTGAGACCGGGGATAATAAGCCATTTCATAATGGGGGTCTGTTGAGTTCTTGACTCTTGCTCTATTTATGTTTCTAACCGAAAACTAAACATCATAGCTAAGATCTCATGATTCTCTGGACTAAGAGGACTCTCTCCTCAGGCCCTCAAGATTCCTATTTGTAGTGATCACCACTTACTATTCAATCTTGTCTAACTGAACCATCCACTTGCCACTGTGTACACACAGACTACTAGTGGCTCTCATTTAGTCAACCCCACTTAGAGTAACCAGTAGATTCCTACGTGAGGCACTTTGGGAAGACAGGAATAATAAAAGAAATGGGGGCCAGACCTAAAGTGCAAGTTTCTCTTTATTGCGACTCTGGCTTCCTTCTTAAATAGTAGACATCATCCCCGAACCTAGTCCAGAGGACAGGATGGGGTGGGCTGTGATGAAAGCAATAATGAGGTAGCATGGTTGGGGACAGATGTGACCTTGGAGGGAGCATGCCCGTCTCATTGAGTTTTTATGCAAGTTTAATGATGTCGTCATTTTAAAAAGAGATTGAAAACCAGGCTCAAGCCTGAGGAAGTGGTATTAAGACTTTCTCCCTCTTGTCTACAGGCTTGCCATCCACTCCATTGTAGTCCTGCCTCTCATCTACTTCATAATTGTGCGGAAAAACCCTTTCCAATTTGCCTTGGGCATGGCGCAGGCTCTCCTGACAGCTCTCATGATATCTTCCAGGTAACTAGAAGAGTGTCGCCTCCAGACGATGCTTTGTCACTTCTGTCACTTGGTGAAGATGACTCCAGCTTCTGGTTGGATAGACACCTTTGAGAGATGGTGCCTGTATTCTCTGTCCATCTCCTTGAATGTATTTCTCCACCCTTTTGAATACTTCCTATACTCTAGCTGTGGCCCGATACCCAGAAAACATCGTGGTGTCACAGGGGGCAGGAGTAGGCACAGCACCTTCCAATTCCGGGATTGGCCCAAAGTACCAGCATACAGGCTGGAGAGGTCCGAGGTTCAAGTCCCAGCACCCACATAATGGCTCACAAACTACTGTAACTCCAATTCCAGGAGAACCAACATCCCCTTCTGACCTCCATGGTCACCAGACACACAGACATGCCTTCAGGCAAAACACCCATGCAAGTAAAAATAAAATAATAAATTATTTTCTTAATTGCCAGCATGCTCTGGGGCCCTTTGTTCACTTTTTAGACCACAGGCATACTTTTTGGGTGGAGACCGAGGCCTGGTGGTTTTTAGACCTAAATTTGCTTCCATTGATCCCACAGTTCAGCAACCCTACCAGTTACATTCCGCTGTGCAGAAGAAAAGAACCAGGTGGATAAGAGGATCACAAGATTTGTGCTGCCTGTTGGTGCCACCATCAACATGGATGGCACTGCACTCTATGAAGCCGTGGCAGCTGTGTTTATTGCACAGCTGAATGGCTTGGACTTGAGCATTGGGCAGATCATCACCATCAGGTGAGGCACAGTGTCGCTCTCATTTGCATCACTGCTCCTTGAACTGCCTCAAGTAAACGTGATCCATGCAGACAAACCAAGAGGGACCTCGAGATGGGATGTTCTATTGGTTTATGAATCCCTGCCAGAGATAAAGACAGGGGGTGGACTCATGGCACATGCAACTCCAGCTTCAGGGTCTGGGTACCTGAGGCATCCCTCTGCTAAGCTTAATGGGACCAGTAGGTGCCAGACAATGCCAGGCACAGATTAAACACCCAAGACTCAAGGTTAAATAAGCATGAGCCCCTGCTCTAACAGGAGTCCCTTGTGAATGGGGAGGCGGTTAAATACCAAATAAATACTGGATCTGTGTTAGGACTCTCATGGAAAATTAATTGGGGTCACAGGATGGACCTAATGAGGGAAGGATCGACTCTACCTAGGAAGAGAAGGGAAGGATTCCTAGAGGGGCGGGAAGTACAGGTGAATCTTAGATGAGGAATAAGAATTTAGCAGGAAAAAGACAAAAGCTAAGAGCTCAGAACAGCGAAAGTATCTCATGGCCTAATCAGAGTCCAGATTCTTTGGCCATAAGAGCCCTGTGTAGAGGATCTAATACAACAGTTTATAATATCATGGATAGGTTTGAATTTTAAAGAGATAACTAGCAGTATGATGGAAGGCTTGGATGGGAGCAGGGACCACAAACTAGAAGATCAGTAAGTCACCAAATGGCCTCTATCAAGATATATATATAAATGTATATGTATATGTATATGTATATGTATATGTATATGTATATGTATATGTATATGTATATGTATATGTATACACACACACACACACACACACACACACACACACTGGGTTCACCTCTGAGTTAGCGAATCATAGAGCTGCCATCTGGTTTCAGGCTAAGGGCCAGGAAAAGGCTAAGATGGGTGATTTGAGCGCGTGAGAACAAGAGAAGCAAAAACAAGGGGAAAATGGTATATACTTCTTGACACGTTGAATTTGAATGCCTTTAAGAATTGTAGGGGCTGGAGTGGTAACTCAGTAGTTGAGAGAACTGCTTCCAGGGGACCCAAGAAGCTATCCATGCTGGGTAGCTCAAAACTGCCTAGAAATCCAGCTCCAGGGGAGCCAGTGTCTCTGTCCTACATAGGTGCCTGTACTCATACGCATATACCCTCATGTGTACAGGCAAACACACACACACACACACACACACACACACACACACACACTACACAAAAAAAAAAAAAAAAAAAAAAAAAAAGTAAATTTAAGCCAGGCAGTAGTGGTACACTCCTTTAATTCCAGCAGTTGGAAGGCAGAGGCAGGCAGATCTCTTGAATTCGGGATCAGCCTGGTCTATAGAGTGCGTTCCAGGATAGCCTGAGCTACACAGAGAAAGCCTTTCTTGAAAAACCAAAAGAAAAAGAAAATTTAAAACACCATAAATTAAGAAAAATGATTGAGGATATAGATCTGAACTACAAACCCAAAAGTAAGGGTCAGCCACTTAACAGTGGTCATAGGACATGTGGGCGCCAAGTCAGGAGTCTGAATCAGTAACACTATGACTAGTTATAACTGTAACCTTGGGCAAGCTTAAGTTCTCTAAGCTCTGTTTTCTCATTTGTAAGTGGAGGAAATAATAGCGCCTATGATTTATTCAAATATGATAATTAGTAAGAGGATGTTTATAAAGTCTTGGTGCCTACACAGCGAGTCCCCAGTAAATGTTAGGAATGGGTGACATTATGCAGAAAGAGTTTGTAAAGAAGGGGAAACAGTGCAAAGCCTCAGAAAATCCCATTAGAGGTAGATAGGAGGGAGGAAAGGAGAACAGGAGGTAGGAGGAAGCCAGGGGCATTGTGGAAACCTAGAGTGGTTTATTTTCAAGGATTAAAATGGCTCAGTGTCTGACGCCAAAAAGAATTCAAGGCAAATGAAGACTGAGGAGGTGTTTGAAATGGCCCTGGTGAATTCTGCTACAGTTGTTTCCTAGGACGGCATTATGCAGCCTCTAGTCCTGTGCGGCCAATGGCTGACTGAATTGGGTAGCACAGGCGTGGAAGAGTCCCATCACTGCGGACGGCCCTGTTGGTTTGCACTGTGTCTGAGTGACAGAATGAGATTCCAGTTATCTCAGGGTTGATGAAACTGGGCCAGCTTCATTTATGCTTCATGCATACTTTATACATAGCCATATATACTCATACACATATGAAGTATTTGTGGTGTGCTTAGGTTTTGACTGTGAGATCATGTGTGGAATTTTCCATTCATATTGTCACATTAGTCTTAAATTTTGGAGCATTTAGGATGTTGAATTTCCAGAAGAGATACTGACATCATCGTGGTGAAGTTGACTGGGGCTACAGGAACAGAGTCCTCTGCTGATTTAAAGAATAAAAAGACAGGCAAGGCAAGGCAAGGTCTCAGCACTCAGCCAGATTTTATTGAAAACAGAAACACACACACACCATACCACACCACATAGAGAGACAAGCTCCCCCAGAAGTAAAGAGGATCCGGAAACCAGAATCTGAGGTTTTCCTGGCAGAGCCAAAACTTTCAAACAAAACAAAAGTTTGAGGGCTGATGAGTTCCCTTTCTCCCTCAGGATTGGCTGGTTTGGGCTGTTGCAAAGGATTGGGTAATCTGGACAAAGAAAAGCTGATTGGTTCCCACAATCAGAGCCCCTCCCTCCATGTAGAGGTCAATACTACATAGTCCCCTCTGGCAGGACAAACATCAAGTCTTTGTCTTAGGGAGGAGGAAGTCAGCCATCCTAAATGTTTATGGGAAGGTACATTCATCTGCCTAGAGCCCCTTTGCCCTGCCTGCCTGCCTACCAGGCAGCTGCTAGCCTCCGGGTCCCTCAGTGTGCTCAACCAGCAGTGGGTAGTGGCCGCTGTACTCAGAGCATCATGTGTATTGATCCTAGCAGAACAGCAAAAGCGGCATATTTATAGTTTGCTGCACAGGTACTATCCTGATCTTGATACAACTTTGTCTACATAAAAGACATCCGATCCCTCAAATCCAGGCAAGGAGTTGAGATCAGAGAAATGCTCAACTGCTGAAGAAAATGCTCATAGCAAATTGGCAGAACCAGGAATGGAGCCAGATGTGTCTGACTCGGACAGCTGTGTCCACACTACTTCACAGCCTTGCCTCCAATCCTGCTGCTCCTGCATGCTGGGAGAGAACCCTGTATCCCAGAAGCTGAAAACCTTTCTGCTGAAGCAGGAAATGTTGAAGCAGATGAGCAGGTTTTCATATATTTCCCCTTATCTGAAGACACAATGTTCTGAATGTCACACCAAAAGCCAGTCAAATGACAGAAGTTCAGTGAGCAAGGTCAAGGCTCAAGGGCAGACTGAATGGATTCTGAAGTCCAGCCTCAAGCTTGTAAGAACATGGCTAACCATGACATGTTGAGGCTTCCAAGGGGGATCAATGAGCCTGGGCACATGGCTCTTTCTACAAAGAAAACCCACTGATGCATTGTTTAAATTCTTTTTCAACCAGCATGGAAATAAAGTTGGATTTTTCCAAAGAGGTCTGAGGAAGGACGGCTCTGAAGGATGATGTAAGCCTCAAACTTTAGACATGTCGGTACAGCTCCAGAACTCTCTTAAGTCACTGCAAACTGGTAGCCATAGCCATGAAAAAAACTGGGATGTTTTAGTACTAGGCAAAGAGTCTGACTGGCTTTTAACTGGTGAGCAGCCTCTAGAACACAACACTAGGCAGATGACCAGGCAGCAGAATCTGTTTTCTGAGAATGCAGAGACCTTTGGAACCCAGAGGGATATGAATGTGGCTAGATCTGGGCTTCATCTAGTTTAACTCAGCAGTTTCCACACCTTTGCCTTTCAGCCCACCCGCATCTGGAAGTGGTACTTTAGCCTGAGGGTGAGGCATAGTTCTGGAAGTCACTACGGGTGTCCCTGCCAGCTCATTCAATTCAAAGGACTTTCAGAGCACAGTGAGCCTTGATTTCTCCAGAATTACCCAATTAAAATAAACATACTGCTGGTGAGAAACTGCTTATTGCCAGGAGAAAAATCCCTGTCCTATTTGTGTGCGCAAGGGGAATTTTGTTCAATACTTGGTAACTAAGTTCCTGTGGCAACCTACCCTGGGCTCCAGATGTCTCCTCCTTTGGCATAAAGTGCACCTGCTGGAATGAAGGACCAGTCAGGAATGCTGTACTTTGGATGGGGTCACAGTTTCTCAAGTCAGTGCCCTGAACAGGTGTTCTTGGGGAAGGCTAGAGTCTTGTGATATGGGGAAATTACGTAAAACCTGCTTAACCATTGCTCCATCTGTTTGCCTTCATCTCACACACCCCTGCCCATCTACTCCACTGTCCCTCTAGCCACCTTCCCAGGCAACAGAAATTCCTGGCGCATACTGAGTGCTCTGTAAATGATTGAGCAGCAGAGACTGAAGGAGGAAGGACACAAGTAGAGAGGGTTCTGACACTTAGGATGGAGGCTTTGGGTGGGCAGATAAAGCCTTGAATAAAAAATTCCTACCATCCTGAGTAATTCTGTCTCAGCATTGATGTCACTTGTTGCTATTCTATATTTCCTTGTTTAGGGTGACCTGCCAAATGCTTTCCTGCTGCCATGATATCCTGTTCCTCGTAAGCCCCAGGAGCTCCCATCGTGTGTGTGTGTGTGTGTGTGTGTGTGTGTGTGTGTGTGTGTGTGTGTGTGTGTGTTAGATGGGTGGATGGATGGATTATAGACAGATAGATAACAGATACACATGAGTCGGAACTGGTTATTTAACAGTAAGTTCTAACTGTCCACTATAGGAGCATGCTGGGCGTTGGTGACACACGCCTTTAATCCCAACACTCAGGAGGCAGAGGCAGGTGGATCTCTGTGAGTTCAAAGCCAGCCTGGTCTACAGAGCAAGTTCCAGGACAGGCTCCAAAGCAATGCAAAGAAACCCTGTCTTGAAAACAAAACAAAACAAAACAAAAACCCACTATAGTAACATAACAGTACCAGCCACGGAGCCTGTTTCGGTCTAACCCTTTCCTGCTATTGTGTTTTGGCTACAGTATCACATCCACAGCTGCCAGCATTGGAGCTGCTGGCGTGCCGCAGGCTGGCCTGGTGACCATGGTGATCGTGCTGAGTGCTGTAGGCCTGCCTGCTGAGGATGTCACCCTCATCATCGCTGTGGACTGGCTCCTGTGAGTTGGAATAAATACCCCTGCCTCTGCTGGTTGGGCAGGCAGCTTCCTAGCCATGCAGAATCTTTGCTGTGCTCTGCTTTCCTCCTCACAATGCCTAATGAGCCATCTGTTGCTGCTTTCGCTTCCTTTTGGCCAAGCCGTCTGGTTAACATGCTTAAATTTAACTCTTTTGTAACTTCAGCAGGGGTTCTCAAAAGCCAGTGAGCTCCATCAGCTCATGGTATAGGTGGTGGCACTTACGGTTAGAGAACAAGATTAAATAGGAGACAGTATAGTGAAGAAGTGGGGCAAGGCCCCGTAGCCATCCCCAGGTATCCCAGCCCCAAGTCGGCTTCATAAACACGGGACCACCTGCTTCGAAGTTACTGCATCTTTCCAGGTATCTTTGGAATCCTCTGGGCTGGTGGCATGAGCAAAGGTTTTAGCATACGCCTGTGTTCACATCCTCATCTGGTATCTTAAGAGGTTTGAGACCTTGAGCACGTTCCTTAACCACTCTGAGGCCCATTTTTATTTATGAGATGGGGAAAGTTATGCCTACCTCAGTAGCTTGTTGTAGGAACCAAATGGGCTCATCTGAGCCAAGTGTCTAGAAGTATGCCTGGCAGTTCAGTTCATAATCAACATACGGAAAGTTCTATTGTTGTGATGGCAATGAGTCAAACCACTTAGCCCCCAGACAGCTCTCTTCTGTCTTATACACACATCCCCCATACACAGAACATCTGTGTGAGAATTGCCCCCTTGATGCCCAAAGTTGAAGGTGGAGCAGCCTGGTCTTTGGCTTTAGTTTTGAAACACACATCTACCTTCCAGTACCAAGGTTGTGGCTCTACCCCTAGCCATCAGAGTTAAGTGTAGCTCCATACTGAACCTCGTTTCAGATTAGAGAGAGAGACCAGGTTGTACAATGTATACAGCAGCTAAGAGTGGAGAAAGGGAAGCAGTCATGCTGTGGAGGTTCTAACCATGTACCTGACTTGGAAGCCGTGACACTGCACAGAATGGGCATCTCAGGTAAAGAAAGAAACCAGGCTAATTTGAACCCTGGCTTTTCCTAGAAGCAGTGACTCTCTACCAAGGTAAGTGTAAGGCCCAAACTATAGGATGCAAGGATGCTAGGCCAGGACAGTCTGTGGTACTACTCCTGTTAGAAGGGCATCCACAGTGTCATATACAGTCAATGTTGGCCTTTCCTGTCTCACAAATGTCATCTCACCAGGGTCCCCATGTTCACAGTTTTCACCACATCCTCAGTATCAAAATGAGCACGCCCTCTGTAGGCTTTCACTATAGGCCTTCCTGCCACTGGCCTCTTCTCCGGTCTGCCTGGGATTACGACAAATGGAGGGTGTATCATAGAGGAATCCATCTCTGGGCTGGCCTATATCTTTTGGATGCTATGTTCTTCCATGTCTTTACCGGGTTGTTCATGGAATGACCTTATTTAGTAAAGAAATGAATACACCGGGGACACACCTGAGGCCTACATACTTGGCACCATCCACCCCAACCAAATGTTCAGATTCCCTCACCTTAGCCAAGAGAGTCCTTAATACCAGTGCATAATACCTAGGAAAGGCACAAAAACGAAGTCAGAGCTCAAAGACTTACTGAGTTCTGAGCCATCCTTGGTATCCTCCATGTATCTCTGTGGAGACCCCATTCTTATTTGGGAAAAAATGAGGGAATTTCTGGGGACTGAGAGGTCATTGCTACTTTCTGGGAGCATGGGCCAAGTAGAGCCCATTTTCTCATTCTGTCCCTTTGGGAGCCACCTTCTGCCCCAGGCCAGTGAGGCATCTGCCGAGCCAGGAGAACAGCATTCTGCACTGCACTCATCAGAAACTTTTCTTTCTCCACACATCAGTGGAGGAAGATGAAATCTGGGCCCATTCTGATTCTCCTGTCTCTTTGCCAGGGACCGGTTCAGGACCATGGTGAACGTTCTGGGAGATGCATTTGGGACCGGCATTGTGGAGAAGCTCTCCAAGAAGGAGTTGGAGCAGATGGATGTTTCATCTGAAGTCAACATCGTGAACCCCTTTGCTTTGGAACCCACAATCCTTGATAGCGAAGACTCGGATACCAAGAAGTCCTACGTCAATGGCGGCTTTGCAGTGGACAAATCTGATACCATATCATTCACCCAGACCTCACAGTTCTAGAGGCCCAGCTTTCAGGTGACTGGGATGAGGCAGACATCTCCACGGAAGCCATCTGGCAAACTCCAACATTAATGAATGAGAGAAACACTAAGAGTCAACTGTACATTTAGTTTGATAAATAGACCTCCAGATTATTTTCTATATTTGGCTTTATAGCCTTTGTTCTCTGGGTTGGGGAATTTGGGGTGGGGTAGAATGAAAGGAAATTGAGACAGTTGTATTATCTGGGTTTTCTAACTCTATAAAACAAAGTCTGGAAGTATATGATGCAGTTAACTGTTGGAATTAGGTAATGGATATGGAAGAGAAATTGCTTTCTCGTGCATAGACCAGTGTTTGGGGTTTTTAAACAATATTATTATTGGCTACAAATTTTTACTCAGGCTTTCTATTGGCGTGACTTCCTTTGCCTTCTCACTTTTTATAGATATGATGCATCTTAATAGCCCCACCTACTGCCAAATTTTCCATTTTGACCTCATCTTTAGCCACTCTCAAACTAATCTAAAGAAAAAGAAGGATCAACATAGTTCTGCAATAATAGTTTTAAGATAGTTGTGGGGCTAGGGGAAGGGAGAGGGTTTTTTATTCCATGTACTGTATTGGGATGCTGGTAGCTGTTTAGCCAGTGTTCAGTATAGAACTGTATGTATATGTGTGTATATTTATTATTTTCATACAATTTGCAAGACAGAGATCAGTAATGAACTATCAATGTGAAATAAGATACTCTCCTTGTACTTGAATCAAAACTGCAATTCCAAGCTAGACAGTGGTGGCACATGCTTTTAATCCCAACACTTGAGAAGCAGGGACAGGCGAATCTCTATGAGTTTGAGGCCAGCCTGGTCTACAAAGTGAGTCCTAGAACCAGCCAGGGCTATGCAGAGAAACACTTTCTCAAAATAAACAACCAACCAACCAACCAACCAAATCCCTGCAATTCCAGCTGAGGTGTACTTTGGAGCCCACCAGACCACCATCAGGAGCTCTGGGATGAGAAATCAAGTTGCTGGCTTACTGTGTTTCAGCCCTGAAGCAGAAATGTATTATGGTGAAACTCTATGATGGCACAGTCAATCATTTATAACTTCCAGGCTTAAGCTCCCTCCAGGGAGAGAGTCCCTGTTGGCAGTGAATAAATGCATTACAAAGGCAGCTCTCCCAAAGGCTGGATGTGCTCAGAGCCAAACAAGGCTTCAAGGCTTCATTCTTCATGTACACTCAGGTCCACTTCACAAGGCTGTCACTTCACTGCCCTTGGTCCTCTCTGCCCTGTGGGGCAGAAGCAACAGTGGCAAGCCATCTCCAAGTTGTGTTGCAAAATGGGCTGCCTAAATTGAAAAAGCCACATTGCAAGGTGACCAGCTATCCCTATACTGTATGCTTTTTATTTTATATATATTTTTTACTTTTTTGTTTTGTTTGTTTTGCGACAGGGTCTCTCTACATAGGACTGGATGTCATGGAACTCACTATGTAGACTAGGCTGGAACTCACAGAGATCCTCCTGCCTCTTCCTCCCTAGTGCAGGGCTGAAAGGTGGGCAGGGCCACCATGCCCAAAGGCATGTGCCATCATGCCCAGCTCTATACTGTATTCTTACAGAAAAAAACCCAGGACGTGAACTACCAGCACCAGTGGCTCAGGAGAAACACTTCTGTTCCCTCTGTCTCCTCCTTCAGAAAGGATTGTTTGGAGAATCTTGGCCATGCTACTCAGAATCCTCTGCCTGTCTTTCTCCTGCTCACTTCTGAAGATGGCTTATCAAAAGTCTACACTTCTGCCCTCCTCTTGTAAATAAATCTCAACAAAAACTTGTACTTAACATGGAGATAGATTCTTAACAGCCGTGTTTCTGTAGTATCATTAGCCACCTTAAACCCGTGGTTTTACATTTAAGAAGCCAGAAATTGTGCCAAAGATAGCAGGGAGTAAGGGAATGCTCAGTGTTGGCCACTTGCACCTGAAAGCTGCAAGAAAATGACACTGACTTGCTGACCAAGCACAGTTACCAAGGACTCTGAAAACTGGAGTACAAATATCTGTATTCTTTATGGGAAGTAAATCTAAACCTAAATGAAGTTGAATGAATACTTTATTTAGAAACAAATGGTTCTATCCCCCTTATCAGGTGACTCTCATTAATGACACTGGAGTTGGCAGAGCCGTTCACAAATTCACTGGGGTCATCCTTGTAACCAGCCACTTCACACACTGTGCTGTTAACTCGTGAAACAGGACGTGTTCCATTTCTTTCTCAATAAACACTTCTCGTAATCTTTGTCCCCTTATCTTCCAGCCTGCTATCTATTCTTTTACTTATCTGGCTAGATGTGGGAAGGTGAAATTCAGGCTAGTGCAAGAAGCTCTATGATTATTTGCTTTAAAACCAGAGAAGATTGCTTTGACATTTTTTTATCACCTTGAGAATGAAAGGTCAGGACTTGAGGAAAATATACTGATCCTTCATGTTTACCAGAGAGCATTACAGGGATGAAATACAGGCCCATTCTGGACAGTACAGCTCATTTTTTGTGGATGAAATGAGAATAGGATTTTGCTAGAAATTGCTATCATGGAAGACAGCCATATCTCAGATAGCGTGATGACTTGGTTCACTGAAGGACCAATCCTCCCCTCTGAGATAGGACCGCCAATCACAGATGGCAGGATTTGCAGTGCCCTTGAATGGGATGGCATGCTTCTACCTGAGCACACCAGTTATCGGCAAGTTCTGCAGAGCAACACTCATTTGTATGATTGATGGATATCAAAGGAACAGACAGTTTCCTGGGCCCCACTGAGGAAGGGCAGCATAAAAAAATACCAGTTGCTTTCTGGTCACAGGAATACAGGATAGAGTCTTGACTGCAATGTGGACATGGGGCATTTCCAACAACACAGCTCCTTAGTACAAAGTTTGTAACAGCTGGTGCAGCTGAGCAGAGGCCCAACACATGAGCTTAGCTGTCTCCCAAAAGAGAATGTCATTACCAATACCAATGGATGACTTTAATCTTTTGTAAGCTCTCTGGGTTATTAAAAACCCACCTCTGTACTTAAGTCACCATGGGAAATAATGTGACCTGCTGATCAGGAGAAGAGAGCAGAAGCACTGGTAGCTTTGCAGGTGATTAAGAACCTTCCCTCTGTGGCAGGAGGGAAGGGGTCAGGGTCCTGCACAGCCTTGGCTGAGCACTGATGCTGTACATCAGCACAGATACTCTGCAATTAGTAATGCTCAGAAAGAAACCACAGGAGACACACAACTGGTAGGTGTTGTGGGATATTTGCACACTGTGTGAAGATATATGGCTGTGATTCATTTAATAAAGAGCTGAACAGCTAATAGCTAGGTAAGTGGTATAGGCAGGACTTCCTGGTAGAGAGAGGAAATAGGAGGACATGATCTAGGCACACAGGAGACATGGAGAGGAAACAGGAGGTACAAGATGGAAGAGCGGTAATGCCATGCGACGGAATGTAGATTAATATAAATGCTTTAATTTGAGTTATAAGAGTGGGACAAGCCTAAGCTATAGGCTGGGCTTTCATAATAAGGTCTCTGTGTTGTTATTTGGAAGATGGCTGGCGGGATAGAAAAAAGACTCGTTACAGGTAGGCACACAACTCCAATACTCTCTTACCTTAGTGATTCTCCCCAGTAATTTTGCCCCCTCAAAAAAAAAAAAAGTGGACAAAAGGTTAAGGCACTTTCCCAAGGTCATATAAGGAACAGAGGTGGGGGCGGGTGATTCACTTTAATTCAAGTCTCAGGTGACCCAAACATTTTAAGACATTTTAGAATCATTGTAGAGATCTGCTTTACAGCATAATGACTAATTAAAAGTATTGTGTTGCAATACTTACAATTTTGCTAAGAGGGTTTTTAGCATAGAAGGAGGAAGGGAAAGAAGGAGGGAGGGAAGGAATAAGGGAGGGAGGAAGGCTTGCTTTGGAGGTGGTGACAGGGATGACCCTGTACAGAAGGCTATATAAAGTTACACACATTAAATAGCTTTTTTGCTTGGCAATCATGCCTCAATAAAGCAATTTAAATACATTAATAAAATCTTACATTGACCATGTGCTGGTGTGGAGCTAAGTATTTTACATGTACAATCTTATTTGTTCTTTTTAACATTCCTATTGCCCTGTTTTCCAGACGAGAAAGCTGACCTACCAAGGTACTTGCCCAAGGTCACCCAGCTAGGGCATATATGTGATTCCAAGTTCTTTCCTGGCTATCCAGTTACAGGGCTTCAAATTGCTGCAAAGCCAAAGCAGGGGTGTAGGATAGTATCCAGTTTCTGCTTTCAAAGTTGTTTGTGCTTTCTAATGTCATTTAATTTGCTCCAACCAAATTTCCTTATTCAAATTCTCCATCCCCATTTTCCCATTCTGGCTATGGGTCGTTAATGTATCTATGACCCTCCTTTCACCTAATGGCTCGGCCTCCTCTCATTATGGCTGTTTTGATAACACCAATAACATATCCCTCCACCCAAATTCCATTTAGTCCTTCAATCAAATCACAAATTTTCCAGAAGGGCTATCTGTTACAAAATCAGAGGCAGGCAGGCAGATACCAGAAACTGGAGCCCAGTTCCTCTTTCCCTTTTCTTCCACACTTTCTAAACTGTTCATCAGTTTGCCTTTATTTCCTCCCCCTGGTTAAAGTCTTGGTCCCCTGTCTTCCACCCACACAGCTCTCCTAAACCTCCAAGGTAACCAGTGCCCTGTTAGCAAAATCCAAACAGGTACTTCCCCAGGCACAGCCTTTGCTCTTCTGCAGTCCCCATCACCTTTGATTAGTCTATGTCCATCTGGCTGCTGTCTCTCACCTCCACATTTCCTGGCACCTTCTTAAGATGCCCTCCTCCTGCTTCTTATGATCTTGGCTTCCGCCAAGTGCACAGGGACCTTGGATGCTGAGGGATAAGGGAACAAGCTCTGTATCATTCTGGTCTCTCTGTGCCATTCCACCAGAAAGCTGG